CCTGACTGGGTAACACAAATGTTTAGAGGTGGGAGTAGAGTGCAGTTAAGCCAAAACCAAGCACAGTCTGTTCATGCCTACGTGCTAGTTACTCCATGTCTCTCGAGAAACTTGTGAGACTTTCCTGTTCCCATGAATGTTCCTCAGACAGGTTTGGTATTTATCAAATTTAAAACTCTTCTGCTGGTTTAATTTCTTCCTTTGTTCCTTGGTTCATAGGAGCTTTGCAAAAAGCTCATTATTTAATACGTCCTTCTAAGTTTAATAATACTATATAAATGCTTATTATTTTGCTGGATGTCAACCTAAGTAAGAAGTTCTGTGCTCAAGCAGGAGCAGTTTTTGCTGAAGGTACTGATTTTTGGAAATTTGGTTCTTATTTCTTTTTCCCCTTGTGCAGAGAGGAATCAAAACCACATTATGCATATCATGCATTGCTTTTTATGGTACAAAAGCAGTGTACTGTTTTGACTTCCAGACTTTCAAACCAGCTTAAATCAGGCCATGTGGCACTGAAATTGTTGCAGGGAACTTCCTGCTTACAAAAATAAATCAATATCCTTTCATTATAAGTGCATTCACTTCAGCATCAGGTTTTGTTTTTGGAGTTTCATGGCAGATTCCTGAGGGAGAGGTGCTAATGGATTTGGTGGTGTCGGTAAAACACGTGATTCCAGAGCATTATTGCAGAATTTTGTTTCTCTCTTGATGCTGGCTTCTTATTTTTCAAATTATATGCTCATCTAATGCCCTAATGTTCTTACCTCAAGCCACTTAGAGTATCTGCAGTTTCCCAGGGAAGAATGCACTCCCTTTGTTATTGTGAATTGTATTGTTAATTCCTCTCTTTTTTTTTTTTTAATGGACACATGGCTTTAAGTTTCATTACAAACTCTTTGGTTTTTTATTCCATTTATTTGATATCCATTATATCAGTCATGTTTATTCCCTCTTTAGATCTCTTGGTTCTGCTAGGATCAGGATGACTGCAATTACATGTATCTGAATTTATATTGCACTATAGAGCTATTACAGGGAATCTGTTACTCAGATGGGCCTCTTAATAGTCTTTTCCTTCATAGTAAGGCAATCATCCATAGCTTTGATTGTGCTGCTATAATCATGACTGTGCTTTTGCTTAAATTATTCCTCTGCATAGTCTCTGCTATTTCAAAGATCAGCGTGCATTACTTTGCATGTAATTCCACATTTTATTATCAGCGTGGTTATACAGCTTTGCAAATTTTCAAGAGCTGATATATGTCAGTTACAGTTTATTATCTTAAGTAAATAGAGAGCTATTAGTTTACAGCAGAGAGCTTATGCAGATTGTGTTCTACGGAGGACCAAAATACTCATGTATCCCCCTTACTTGGCTTTAGTTGTTACACTGTTAGTGTTGCCTGCCTGTACTCGTATGTGTTCGTACCTCCATTACTTACTTATTGAAGTTACATGGGTAACTCCCTTCATTCATACTTTCGCTCAAAATGGCTCTTGTTAGACTTTGTAGGAATGGTTTCACAATCTTCACTGGCTTATGTGGAGCAATACAGAGCAAGTGATAGGCTGCTGGCAACAGAATACTTGGCTCTCCTTCCGCGGTTTCAGTCTTACTTTGATTTCCTCAGGCAGCGAGCTACATAAGATAGACTCCATCCAACACCACTAACCTCAGATGTTTCTCTTGCAGGAGTTGGTGCCTTCTCTAGCATGACCGCGAGAAGGCTAGTACCCTATTTCACAGGGACACTGGAAAGAATCTGTTTTTCTATGCCCACTGAGCCCTATCTCTGCTGGCAGCTAAACAGGAGTATCATGCCAGGATTACTTCAGCCCTGGATACTCTGTACTGCAGTCTATTCCCTTACCACTTCTAGCATTTCTTGCCCAGGAGGGCCTCATGCAAGGTCAGAGAACAAAGTACCTCAGTTGCTCTGACCAAGAATTCAGCCTCCTTCCTGGCGGAGAGAATGATTTAAAGGATATATATATTTTTTAAGACCTCCTATACAGCTCGGCCCTTGGATTTTGAGGTTGCACTGAATCACTGCAGGACCTGTGAAGCATATCACTCCACGACTGAGTTTTCCTCCCTGTAAACAAAGTATTCTTGGATCTAACTGACTGACTCAGGCAAGTTCCTTTCTGTAGTGTCTCTATGGCAATGCACCTAAGAGGGAGAAGGTGCTGAGTGATTAAATAGGAGAGTCATACTCCTGACAAAGGAAAGGGGGTGACGGAACTTGGCATTTACAAGGAAAAAAGCCAAGCATCTTAAGTTAACATTGAAAAACCAGAGAATAAAAAATGGTAATTCATTGCCAGACCTATCTGGCAGCCTCTCTTTAGTTTAGGCTTGTTGGTTATCAGATGATACTTGCCACTCAGACCATAAAATGCAATAACATGTAGTTGACTTTGAAAACTCTTAACCTAGTTGATTCCAGAAAGGATTTATCTGTTTTGTT